ACAGAGGGGCCGCAGGAGAGTTCCCAGAAGGGTGTTCAGCAGCAGCGCTGCCTTCGCCCACTTCCTTCCTTCTGCATGCGGGAACTCTGTGTAGGATTTCTGGTCTTTCCCATTCCGCTGTGTTTATCTTAAGAAAACGCACACCTTCAAAGCCAAGCAAATCCCACAGCTTTATATCTGACTTTGATACCTTTCCAAAGGCATGCGCGTGTTTCAATACTCGCCTCAGGTTGTGCGGTGTATTTATATGGCTGCGAAATACAGTTGTGCACAAACCCTTGAAACAGAGTGCTCCAGCTGTGAGAGGTGGCTGGATGCAGTCAGTTAAAGCTTGGGTGGGTCTGACCTGCCAAAAAAAACTTCTCTGACATCGGCTGCGTTACAGCCTGGTCCTTAGCACCCGAGCAAATGGCTGCTCTTGAGAGGGGACAAGAGTGGAGGTTTGAGTGTCTTTCTCTAGCCTGGTAGAGGATTGGGGCTGGCTGAATGTTAATGAGAGAAAACTTAACTTTCTTGGTGTCTTGAGCATCTCTTTGATGTCTCTGTCCTCTTCCTGTGTTTCAGAACATCTGCAAGAACTGCGGCGGCATCTTCTGTGAAGCCTGTTCAGCACATGAGCTGCCCCTGCCCTCCAGCATCAACCCCGAGCGCGTCTGCAATCCCTGCCACGAGCAGCTCATCCAGCAGTACTCCACCAGCCCCTTGTAGGGGGGGTTGCAGGGAGCAGCGACCAAAATTGTTGTAGCTGATGATGGTTTCTGGAGTTGTCTGGGGGAACGTGAAGAGAAGATGCTTGCCCGTGTTCTTTGGAGGTCAGAGAGGGGGAGCAGCTTCATGGTGTCCACAGTCTCTTGTGACTCAACCAGAGCAGTCTGAGCCTTCCCAGGGCAGAACCCTGCCTCCTCTCAGACCGGCGCTGTGCTGGGGAGGGCTGCTTTGGGAACGCCACGTCCAGTGGCCCCAAGGTGTGCCCCGGCATGGAGAGCACAGAGCCGTGTGTGTGTGTCTGTCCTGGAGCGTGTGGTGTGAAAGCATGCTGCTGCTAAGCAAAGGCTCACTGAGAGCAAAACGGGAGCGTTCTTAATCCTCACGTCTGGCTGGACTTGAAATGCCATCTCCCCTCTTCCTGCTGCCGCTGACAGTGCAGGGAGCCAGGTAGAGGCAATAAACCCTTTATGGTTTCGTTTCTTTGGCCCAGCCCGCTGGCTGTGGGCTTGCCACGCACATTACGATTGAAAACCCAACCAAAGCTGTGAAAGTTCTGCTGCGTGGCAGGGCTGGGCGTGAGAGCGGGGGTGGTGCTGATGCGAGCACCATGGAGAACTGATGCCTGCTCTGATGTGGCACAGACGTGCCGTAGGGCATCTCTGACCTTCCCATCAGGGACCTCACTGTGAGGTGACCACACAAGGGGGTCACAGCGTGGGGCTGTTCCTGCCTCTGTCTTGGCGTGGCAGCTGGAGGGACTGGGTTCCCGAGATCCCAAATTCTCATCGTGACACAGCAGGTTTGGGGCCGCTTCTGTCCACCTCTGCCCCTTGTGTGTGGGAAACACTCATTTTAATAAACCTGCTCCTTCACTTCTGGTTAGATCAGAAGGAAGGCGAGATGCACTCAGAATGCTTTTCACCTCCTCAGAGTTCTGATTTGAAACGTTTAGTTTTCACAGTTCACGCTACATCATTCGTTGTTGCTGTTACCTTGTTGGAACTGTTACTCCAAAGACCGGGGTGGGTTCCTCCTTTAGCACGGAGCTGTCAGTTGTGTTTGGGCTGGCTGGTTTATACTGGAAACCTACTCCAGTCCATGACCACAGAATGTTTTGTAGGCCATGGAAAGCTGATGTGTTTATTTCTATGTGACCGATGCGTTTGGTTTTGTACACATTTTATTAGGGGTTAGCGGTTTAATTCCTCAGAGGGGATTTTCTGTTCGTTACACTGCCTGGAACTGCACTAAAAAGTGTCAGAGGGGAGGGTGTTCACATGGCTGGTGCTAGAGTTTGTACAGGGAATGACTCTCTTCTAGGCCTCAGCGTGTTCAGCCCCCCAAGTTCTCCAGCGCCTCTTGGTGCTGTTCAGAGCCAGAGCGCTTTCCCGGGGTGGGGGGGAATTTGTGTTCTTGTTCCCCTCGTAGTAATTCCCCTCACTTGCATTTCCTCGCTGCTGTCCTTAAAGCAGATCAGCTGTTGTAGTGCTGGGATGTGAGCAGCCTGGAACCCCAGCACGGGCACGCGGCTTTGAGGGGTGACACACCGGAGATGAGTGGAGCAGACATACTGAATGGAGTGGATTTAATAGTTTTGTGTACATACGGTACACATTTATGGGGTGTCACATTCTAGCATCCAAACCCAGAGTGACTCACTCCCCCTAAACAATTCCTGTGTGGATTAAACTGGAACTGGGGCACTCACTGGAAACAGGTTTAATGCTGGGGTGACCACAGTGACTGTTTGTGACCTGTGCCCAGCATTCTGCTGTCCCAGCAGGAGCAGCTGCCACTGGGCTTGCTCCACGTGTGGGCTGTCACTGTTGTGTAAAAGTGGGGAAACCTCCAGAAAGGAGGAGCCCCTCAGCGAGATGGCTGAGAACCCTCCAGAACACAGCTGGACATGCGGAAAGGCCAGAGCAGGACTGCGCTCGCTGCCAGCTCGCTCTCAGTACTGGATGTTTTATGTCGTGATGCTGCATGTGTTCACGGCCCGTTTGCTCAGGTACTGCTCGTAATGCTAGATGGGGGGCTCACACCTGGATGTCTAGACGGGGGGGAGCAGAAGGCATTTTTTTCTGATGTTACTTTTGTCCCACAAAAAAATAAAAACTTGATCATCTGTGTCCTGAGTGGTCTTTCCGTTCCATTCTGCTGTGGCTGGCACATGAAAGCATTTCAAAACCAGGAACGGATGCCAGATGCTGACACGGCTTGAGAGAAGCGTGGTAGGAGGGACAAGGTATTGGCTGTGCTACCCAGCACACCTCCTGCCTTCTGCGTCTGACGAGCTTAACTGGTGCTGGTGTTGCTAATTGCTAATACTGGGGGTTTATTAATGCTTTGTACACTTACGCGGCTGGAGACTAGAACTGCTCCACCCGGCAGCACATGCCATCCCTCCAGTGCAGCTGCTGCTGCAACAGCCCATCTTCCCACAGTAAGTCAACACCATTTATTACATGCCTTTACACAACGCTACACTGAATTTTATACAGTTTATCCTTGTTACTGACCAGCGACGCTTGATCTTTAGGCTCACGCTCAACGGAATGTGTCCGCTTTGGCCTATAAAGAAAGGAAGAGGAAAAAGGTGAATCACTTCCTTGCTGCAGATTATTGCTTTCCTTTTTTCAAGTACACCACGGTATTTTATTCCAAATTATTGCCTCCCATAACAGAATGGAAGACTTGGGCACCACTAAAAGATCTCGCTAAAAAAGGTAAGGTAACACAACACCTACACGGGGGGCTGCAGTAAGTCCTACAGCGGGAGGGATTTAATTCCACGGGGGCCACATTGGGATGTTCTGTGCCACTGGGGCAGGGAGGCTGTGCAGGATGAACGTCACAGCATGAATGTGCCCAGATGAGAAATCCAGAGCTGCAGGGCCCCTGGGGCTGTGGGGGGGGCTGTCCTCCCCCCCTGCAGCTGTGGGAGACAGGACCTCGGGGAGCAGTGGCCATCACCGCCCCCCTCTCCAAAGGGAATTTGGGAAGTGTTAGGAGTTGGCTGGGGCTTTCCCTAAACATCACGGGAATTTAATTTTTTTCCTGGTGCAAACTTTGTGTCACAGTTGTAGCTCTGCGAAACCCCTGTTTTTCAGCAGGGAGGGGACTTGATGGTGTTACAGTAGCAAAAAGCTGCCACCTTGCACCATGTCTGCCTTGGCAGGAGTGGCACCTCCCTCATGCTCACGCCCACCATAGGCTGCAGATTTTTTTCCTGTAAACCTTGAAGAGAGCTCCACAGGCTCTGTGCAACAAAAAACCCAAGAACTGTCCCTGCACCGGCCACATGCTTTTATCCTGGGGGATCTGGGTTCACAGGCGAGGCTGGATGTCTGACCGCAGCCCAGCTGTGACTGCTGCTTTCAGCCACTCTGGATTTTAGCCCTTAAACTATCTGAAAGATAAAGTATCAGCACTAGTAACTCTGAGGCAGTCCTTGCTTAAAAATGGAACAGGAACAACAAAGAAAAGGAGGCACTTACCGAAACTGAGAGCGTGCCACTGTCACTGGCAGTTTTGTCTGGCTTTTGGGTGTTCGTTCAGGAATAATTCAACGGCACTGCACTCTGCGGAACAACAGGAGACACGCAGCCGTGTTCAGTGACTTGAACATGTTACATTGTCTTTTTTTTTTTTTAAATTGCACAAAGCTAATGTCAAATGGTAATCTGGAAAGCTGTATTTATTATTTTGCACAAGGTGTTACCAAGAGCCTGACGAGCTGACAACCAACCCGAGCATCTGTGTCTTGGGGTTGTAAGACCCACCCCCCCGACTTACGCAGCTGTGACCCCTCCTTAGCCATTGCAGCGACCGCGTCCTCGTGGCTCTCGAAATGCACGTCTGCTTCTCCTGTGGCATCTCCATGGGAGTTGTATTCTACCAGGATCCTGGTGGGCTTCAGTGGAGCAAAAAACTGAAAGGGAGGAAAACAAACACGTTGGGTGTAAAAGAAAGTACAGAACAGTACCACGCTCCAGCACCAATAAACTTTCTGTTTTAGTCCTAAAACCTGTCCCGCCATGGGGGTCTGAGCTCCTGAGCACCAAAAGGCACCTCTCCTCCCTCTGGGGGAACCTCAGGCACCCCCACATCAACTGTCCCATGGTGTGCAGCCCCCATCCCCGGTAAGCTCCTGCAGAGTAGTTCTTCACAGGAACAGAAATCCTCCCACAGTGTGTGTGTTCTGTACGTGTCCAAGTCATTAAGAATGTGTACATTGGCTCAGTGATGCTTTATACTAATAAAATTAAGTCAATTTGATATTAAAAAGATTCTGAAATTCATTTTTGTACAATCAGCGGTGATGCTTTATACTAATAAAATGAAGTCAATTTGATATTAAAATGATTCTGAAATTCATTTTTGTACAATCAGCTGCTCTGAAATCTAGCTAAGATCTTTATTTACAGAGGGGAGCGTATCATGGCTGTGCGTGAGGCCAGGGCTACCCTGGGAGCCTGTAACCTTCGGCAACACGACACCAGCTCATGTTTCCACATGTCCAGCCTGAAGCCATGCAGCACTGAGAACTAACACAGACACCAATAAATTAAAAATTTTAAGTCACTTTGTCTGTAGCAATTAATCCAGGGTTTGCATTGGTAATGACAACCGGAGTTCACTGCTAGTTTTACTGCTACTCACATTTATTATGTCTTGGGCACTGGCTTGGGAGGGAAATCCCCTCATGTGGACAAAGTGCAGCGGTGATGAGATGCTCTCAGATTCTAAAATGATCCCGGAGCTTTCCGTTCCTTCCCTGCACGATTCTGTGGAATGGAGGAGGAAAAAACCCAACACCATTAACGCTTCCAGTTATTGCCACTCTCACGTAAAAAGCTGTGGACACGCAGGGTCACGCTCACAGCAGCCGAGGGTAAAATGAAGGGGCCTCATGGAACACGCATGGCAGGGAGGGACTCACTGTTTCCTCTTTCAGCATCGGAGCCTCCCCTGTCGTTCGCTCCCCTTTCTTCAGCAGCAGGTCCGTGTTCTGTTCTCCCTCTGGGGTGGGTCACCGGCTGCCTGTGGTAAGGCACGTGCCTTTGCATGTGGTGCTTTCTACTGAGGTACACCTCGATGTATCTGGAATTCAAAGGAAAAGGTTACTGGAGGGGAGGAAAGCGTGTCAGGTAATTCAACTAGTGGGCACACCTACAGAGCAGCTGTTTGCTTTTAACTTGGGTGGGTGTAAATAAAAGGAAATGGAGACTGGGAACAGGAAGTAAGGAAACAGAGAAGAGGGAGCAGATGCTGTGCTGGAGAAGTGGTAGGGTTTGGAGTGGTCCCTTGCTACTGGATATTCAGAAAAATAAATTAGTGTATTATTAAAAAAAAAAAATCAGAATCCTGAGTAAGGTAAAAGCAAGTTTCTCCTCCAACCCCTGAGTACAGCTTAGGATTCTGGGAAAAAGCTGTAGATGCTTTTGTAATCAGAATCCTGAGATTCTGGGAAAAAGCTGTAGATGCTTTTGCTTGAAAAAAGAGAGGATCTTGTGAGAAGAGGATGGCATAGGGCTCAGGGCCCTCAGAGAGAATCACTGAGTGTGGATTCCTGAGAAAGGAGAACGGCCCAGGCGGATGTGGTCATGAAAGAGGCCAAGGCTGCTGAGATGGGCCAGCAGCCAACTGCGGGACTGGACCAAAGCTGGAGGTGAGCTGTGCTTTGTACAAGGTATCTGCAGATGGAGAGGTGAACAGTGCCTGGGACGGGGCTGAGGGGAAAGGGGAGGGCTGCCAGCACTGGGGAAGCACCAGGGAGCATGTGGAAACTGGGCAGGGGCAAGTACCTGCAGGAGGTGGGGGAAGTATCTGCAGGAGGTGGGGGATTCTGTGCACTTGTGGCTGGGCAGGTGGGGTCTGTCTGGCACTGCCTCCTCTGAATGCTCTCACCCCATTTTTGTAGGGATGAGGCTGCCTTCAGGAATACTTAAAAAGAACTGAGACTGTCTCTGATAGGCCCCAAATTCCCCCAAGCTATGAGCACTGAAGGTGCCTCTGCAGGGCACAGAAACCTGCAAAAGGCTTCATCTTCTTTTCTCCAGTTTTGTCAAGGTTCTTGGGTTACACAGAGTATTTCAGAGCGTGCTATTAAAAAAGAAGTGTTTTAAGCTGCGCAGTAAAGGTCTGATGCCACTATGAGAAAAAGAGAGCCAGAACTTCTGCTGAAATCCCAATCTAAAGTCTGAGTTCTAGATATTAACTGTATTAAGGACAACAGCTTCCTTAATAATAACTGGAGGGGAGAGCCTAGCATCAGCAGTTTCAGGTGCTGAGAAGGGAGCTGTAAGTCCCAGCACACTTTGCACCAGGTTCTTCCACCCTCAGGAGCCCCATTAAAGCACTCACCTACTTCCAATATATTCCTTGTGTCGTAACAGGGCTTTAGCTGCCATATCAGGAGCTGCAAACTGCACAAACGCTTCTCCTGTTCTTCTGTCTCCCCGGTAAACAAAAGCTATGTCAGATATTTCCAAACCTAAAGATGGGTGGAGAGAAAAAGGCATTTCCACTGTCAGGAACTTGTGCCATAGTTCTAAGACATCTCTTCTGGTTTTTGACAAGCTAACTGGCAGTTACTGAGTTCTGAAAAAACCGCTTGTGCTGACCTAAATACCTTTTTGTAATTTTTAATTTGGTTTGTCTCAGCTAGTTTTCACAGAAAGCTTAATTGACAATAATGAATTCACTTGAGGCTTCAAGTAACTATGAAAACAACAAACGAGTTCTAGATGACAAGGAGGTCCAGGGCACAAATGCTCTTGCCACTTCCTTATTATTACAGTAATTTTTTCCCATCTCTTTAAAACCCAAGTCAAATTCACTGAATAATCATAGAATAGCCTGGGTTGAAAAGGACCCTAAAGACCATCTAGTTTCAACCCCCCTGCTGTGGGCAGGGACATGGCTGTGCTGCGCAAGATTTTTTTGCGGAGCTTGTAATCCAGTGAACAGCTGTATCAGGCATGGCACAGTGCACACTGGGCTGGGCTCCTACACTTATTTTTCAGGAACGCCTTTCTGTGTACCCTTTGTGCCTTGTTCCTTTCTCAAAGGGTCTCCCCAAGCTCCTAAAGAAATAGAAGTAATTGCTTGAAAATGCTGCCCATGTTGTTTCACCACAAAAACTCTGCTACCAGATTCCTTTAAACATAGTTAATTAATGGCCATCAATTTAAGAATTTACTGTCAGCAGCCTTTCCTCTTGCCATGATGTTGGCTATTATAAGCCTTAGTGCTAAAGGCCTCTGCGTGCCTACCTGGAGTGGAAGAAGCTGAGGAAAACTGGTTTTGGTTCAGCCTACAACCCAAACTTTACCTAAGGAAATGTGATTAATTTTGCAAAACATCCAAAGGCTTCTTTCCTAACGAATGCAGGCAGCAGCCACCTGGATTGCCCTAGCACTGAGTGTGGGACATGTGTCTCCACTTGCTCAGCTGAGAACTGGTGCAGTTTAATTTCCCAACAAGCTGCTAATTAAAAAAGCCTGCAGTTAATAGTGGCATACATGATCTAGCTGTTGTGATTATACATCTGTGAATACTTTCACTTGTACTTTAACTATCAGACAGACATGTTTCCCCTCTTGACTTTGCCAAATTATGCACTGGTAGCAATCCAATTGCAGAGAATAGGATGTAGGTTCCTCTCTTTCCTTCCCCTGTTCCCAAAAAAGAGCGCTGCAAGTACTGATCCTAGGTTAGACCTACAGAAAGTCCAAGGTGCAGGAAAACTGAAGCCAAAATCTTCTTCAGAAAGCTGTAGTTACTTTTAGCTGCAAAGGGCCAGCAACTCCTTGTACTGTTTAAGGTGTCCAAGGTTGTAGGGGGTTCTGCAATTGTCACTTAAGAGAAACAGCAGCCTCGCTAAGCATGAACTGGGAGAAGTGAACACCTCCTCGCCACAGAGCACAGACCAGGCTGAGTTACCTGAGAAAAAGTGTGCGATATCATCCTCAGTGGAGCTGAACGGAAGGCCTCTGAGTAGCACAACTCCATCCCTTATGGCTTGTGACTCATTCCGCAGGTTCTGTAGCAAGCCCTCTACATCACTATCGTGTACTTCAAAAACTGCAAGGAATACAGGCACAGGACTCGTTTGCCTTCATGGCCCACAAAAGGCAGCACTCTGCAGGCCTTCTCCTTGGGCTGCATTCCCCCCTCCCAGCTTCAAAACTTCATAATGCTTCCTCCCCCACCCCATAAGCCATGGTCCCGCAGTGGTACCCCTCACTGCACAAGCCGCTCTGCTTTTCCTGCCCAGCCTGGGAAGTTTTGGCTCAGTGGTGCCTTGTTTGCCAATTTGCTGCTCTGCATGCTGCCCCCTCCCAGAAGCCTGCTTTATTCAAGCAGTTCTTATTCATTTCATGCCTCTTCTTCCAATATAACTTTTGCTGTTTCCAACTCACCCTTCACGTAGCGTGGGCCCATGTACCTCAGGTGCTTTTCCAATGCTCTCTGGACATCTGCTCTCGACTCCAGCTCGATCAAGGCATCCCCCCTGCGTCTCCCATCCCTGTTTAAGAGGAAGTGTATGCCGTTCTCACCGTTCCGAATTCTACAGCCTAGAAATCGGGGAACACATGATACAGAAATATACGCAACTGCATCAAATGTGGGGGTCTTTCCATCGCAGATGAAAACTGATTATCCTGCATATAGTGCTCCCTCTCAGCAGCGCAAAATACCCCCTGGAACAAAGGCTGGGGAACTCCTGTTTCTAACCTTTGCTCTAACACACTACATTTTTCACTGAAATTCATTTGACATCCATTAGCTTCCACCGCTGTAAAACTGGGTAATTTATACCCTCATCTTGTTGGAAACTTTTTGTTTTGGAGGTATTTGACATCTAGAAGAAATGTCTCTGTCATTTATAGTCTGCCTGCCATTTATAGTCTGCCTGCTCTGTTTCTTCCCCTAGGAATTCAAACTGACTGACTCTAGCTCAGCAGGTCATAAAACCATTCCAGAACTTGGATATGAATACCCAGGCTACTCTGGAAAGAGGCACTGGAATATTAGAGCATGGAGGGATCAGTCCTGCAAAGGTATGCACAAGCCTATTAATCAGCTCAGAAAGCAGCACTGAAGTTTCAACTAGGAAGTACTCAAATCCCTTCAGAGGGGAGTGGGGAAACAGCCACCCATAACGGTACTCGAAAGAATCACTTGGAACTGGATCAAAGTGTCTTTACTGGGAAAACACCGACTACAAAGATAAAGACTTGCTTAACTAAATACGAAGTGCCATACTGATGAGTTTCTAGCCATCTTCCTGCAGTTTGGAAGCTGGTTACTTGTTTTATATGCATGAATTGTGAATAATTTTACAATAAAATTAAAAAATCATCTTTCTTTGGCTAATTTTTTTTCAGTGCTCTTTCTGTTAGCTGATCATTAACTATTAGGTTCTATAACACCACGATGAACAGTTAAACAGGAAAATTAACTCCCTTACTATCAAAAAAGGTAAGCACATCTTCCTCGGTGCAGGAGAAGGGGAATCCTTGGGCCCTGATAAGAAAGACACTGTCATTCTCTGCCTTGGGTGACTCGGGCTCCTGTTCTGAGAGCTGACCTCCCTGGGACGGTGCATCTGTAACCTGTCACCAAAAACAAAAAGATTGGAAGCGTGCACATCGCGCCAGCGGTCCCCAGCAGGTAGGTACACGGTAACCGGGTCTCGGGCGGCGCGGGGAGGGAAAGGACAGGGAGAAGCAAGGACAAGCAAGCTGGTGCACATGGCGCACGCTGCTGCCGGGGGACAGCGGCGGGGGCCCTGC